ACCTATCCTATGCCCATATTAATACCACCTGAGGGAATTTTTTAAAAAAATTTTGAGAATGTTTTTTTAACTCTTTCTTTTCTCGATTTTGATTGGGTTGTGTTATAAATAAAATGTAGGTAAAAATGTTTGGTTACAGACACTTTTATAAGGCCTTAATAAATTCAGTTCACGAACATTACATATTTAATTGATGTATAAATAAATAAGAATATAATAAATTCATTTTCCTATATCATAGTCCAAAATGTAAATAATAAAATAATATATTTCCAATGAGTATTAAAAAATATTTTGTCTACAAATAAATTTACATAATTTACTTGAACAATTACTATTGACAGTAATGAAGAGTTTAGTTGAACATTTTAGAACTATGGCGTTTAAACTTGTCATACTTCATCAACAGCCTACTTCGCCAAAGCACTCCTAACTTGGCCTGAAGGCCGCTAACTACCCTTTGGATCGAATTAGCTGAGATAACTGAATTATTGTCTGATCGTAGCCGATGAGTGTCTCTACATCAGCGAGTTTGATTTTGTGGTCGATGTTTCCTAACCCTTAAACAGCCCATTCCAACGTATTAAGCAAACGTAAGATCAAATCGATCACGCTGTAGATGGAAATTCGATAGCAGCCAAGCGTTTGAAATTGTGTATGTATGGAATTTATTTGGCGGCGTTAAAAAAAAACTTAGGTGTGTACTTTAGACCACTCGATAGGAGTGGAAACATCAACAAGACGAGATTGATAATATGAAATTTACAATTGTACTAAATAAATAACAACAAGTAAACATGAGCAAATCAAGACTAATGACATGAACAGACTTGTGGAGACACTATACAATGATAGCACTCCCTAAATAGTTCTAAGTAAGATGATCACGAGGCCATCTTCTTTTTAGACGCATATCAGAGCTTTATCAGGAATTGAGGAAGAAGCAAGGCTGGAAAAAAGTGGATTCGGATGGGACTGGAATTTGTCTTGAAAGGATATATATCTTGCTTGGGCTAAATCAGCTACTAAAATAGCTCATTACAAAGAGGACGAAATACTGAACATATAACTCGCTTAAAATATGCAGGTCCGATTTTTAGTTTCTGAGATATTTTTATCCATATCTTCCATAAAACTCGTTATCATTTGGCTTTCTTCACTATTTTTTCCATTTTCGCCTCTCTAACGACGTCCATTTAAGATACAATTTTGAATAATAGCCCATTACAGAGAGGATGAAATGCTGAACAATTCCCTCAGTATGGAGTATGGAGGTCCGATATTTAGTTACACATTGGGAATCTGACGGCTCAATCCAATTCACTCTCCGCATAAAAGTGCAAAACGCGCCTAAAGAAGAAAAATACTTCAAACTTTTTCATTTTTATTTTGTAGGCCTTCAGCCCCATAGTCTTTCTCCAATCGTGGATTCACTAGAATCGTTCTTGTTATTAGTTTTATTTAATATTACATGTTATATTTAATTATATCACTTGATACTGATCCAAATCGTAAGCAACCAATATGTTTCAAATTATCGGTAAATTGTTGAGATCAACTTTTTTTAGCCTCAATTAAATTTGAATGTCGCCTCATAGACTGTAATCGACCTTGTTCCTCAAGTCGAATGATTAATTTCCTTCAAATTTCCTCCCTCAGGCACAAATACCATCGACTACCGTTACTATCGATTCCAATAGGTCGATGTATCGAAGCTGTCGCCTGACCTGCCCCACTCCATCTGCCCCGACCTCCGCACTGCCCTGCTAATTGACCTAGAAATGAAACTTACTCAATTAATGCTCAACTTATCTAATTAATCCCCCGGTCGATATTAATAAGCGCTGTATGATGTTAGTTGGCCAACACAAAAGCTAACTTTGTCTATTATTTATAAGCTCTTCTTCATTAGTTATCCTTTCATCTAGGTTATCAGGATGAGCGATGATGAAACCTCGTATAGTGTTTTACTAAAATCGAAACTTGGGCTTAACAATCTTATGATTTATATTATCTCTTTCAAAATTGTTTCTTCTTAAACAAAGGAAGTATCAACGCTAAGCACTTCAAATTATTGTTTTTATAATTACATAACCTAGGGAAAGCTTCTTGTCTACCATTAATACTGTTGCCCGAAATCGGTCTTGAGCCAAGAGCGCCGGATTTTTGCAAGACCAAGAACAAGATATGTCGAAAAGCCTTTACTCATCAGTATTTCCTTTTTATTGAGGAATTATTATCACTTTGTCACTTCTAGCCTTTATTGATTTTTTTCTTACTTAGACTTAAAAGTAAATGAATATCTTATCTACTAATTTAGAGGTGTCTTACTACTTCCTCGTATTCAGTACAACCAACAACTTTCCAACAAGACTAGTGAATGTATCCGATCCACAGAACTTATATTCTAGGATTTTCTACTTCTACGGAATTGTCTGGCAACGATATCCATTTGATTAAATGATCAGCTGGTGGCCATGTTTCCGCCGTTGGAGGGGGTGAGCGATCAGAAGCAATTTTTCATTTAACCGATCCCTGCCCTAGGCTAGTATTTATCTTCCAGCGCTGCCACTGCCTTCCCGACATCGCAGGTCAGTTCATTCCAATTTCGGAAAATCCTTTATGTATATATCCCTCCTCAGCTATATATTAATGTCTTTCGTTGGACAGTCTACCGCGAACTTACAGAAAAAAAACAAAATATTTAAAATCCATTCGGTTTCAAACTTTTCATCCGTAGATAGAAAGGAATATATTTTGGTCTAACGTTATTTTTAAAGTATTTTATATTCTTCACTGATACACCTAATTGGTAAAAGAAACAGCCTTCATGATCTTAAAAGTTTTCGTCATCTTGTAGGTTAAATTAAAGCTCTTAAATTATACTTACAATTAGAGAATTCTTGTCCAGTTTCAGCAAGTCGCACAATTCAATGTTTCGATTCTTTGCAGTACTTTATCACTTGTTGCTCATTATTTAATTTAATATTATTCATAAAAAATATATAAAACCAATACAATTTTTTCTTATCTACTTCATGAATACTGTACAATTCTTTTAAAATCGTTAACTTAGATTTTAATGATGTTATTTTAGATCATTGTGTTTCTTTAGAAGATCTTTATTTCTGTTTATTATTTCCATTTCTTTATCGCATTATTTTTTTTCATAATTAGTCGTACTGATGTGTTGATATGGACTTAAATATTGTTTTTCACATCGAATAATTAATTCCACTCTTTGTGTATAACTTTAAATACTTTCTGTTTTGAAGATATACTACGCCCATTACAGATTATGAAAGTCGACAGGATGTGAGTTTATTAAATTTAGCGCTAAATGTATGGTAATGGTTCCATATTACGTAAATATACAAATAACTGTAGTTGAGTTTAATTTCCTGACTTATGTTATTTTCAGATTCAAAGTACTTAACAAAACGTATAGTTTTTAAAACTGATCAATTACAGATATAATGCATTTTTAAAACTTTATTTTTTTCAAATTCTAGTTCCATAACAATAGAAATAACATCTGGAATCTTTCTTTAACCGTATGATATTATGGGGGAGGGAGAGACTTTAGAAAATCCCAGCAGACGGAAATAAGAGACCACCTGTTGGAGCTTGACCGTGGTCTTGTTACTTTAATGGCGTATCCATTACGACTTCTGGCCTAAATGGCTTTACAGAAGGAATAAATGATTTAAATTTCCCTACTATTATCGCAATTTTATCAAGTTTAAATAGAAAATTGGAAGTTTTAACACTTTTTTGGAAGTTTTAACACTTTTCGTTCTGGTAAATGTTCCGTAAAGTGATAAAGCGTTCACGAACGATTGTTCTTTTTTTCAATTAATTATTCCATCAAACGATGAACTGTTTTCAGTGATTACTTTTCATGTTCACTTTTGTAAGATTCCTAAACGCTCATAATTTATCATTAGTTGCATTCGTTCTAACTACGAAAATTTATTACATTTTTTCTTATTATTTAAAGAAAAGTTAAATTTCATTAAATTTTTATTATTTAATTTTAGTTCGTTTCGAAACTTATTGAGACTGAAATATTGAATGAAACATTTTATCTTTGGAATATAAAAAATCTTTAGCATTGTAATTTCTTCTTGTTATTTTCTAATTATGTTTTTTTAAATTTTAAACCCATAATTGAATATATTATCAAATTTTAGTTTGATTTATTGTTTTAAATGATTATAATAAAACTTAATTCATATAATTAAAGTAAAGGTTTATTTATTTATACCATCTCAACTTACGGTTGGTAGACTTGCATTTTATTATTAAGCTGGCGCAGTGTTGACTATTTTCTTTAAACATTTTTGTTTATTTATTTGTAAATATGTAAAGTGTGAAATAGTTTGATGTTATTATAAAACAATAATCTGTTACATAGAATTTTTAACGCGAATCTTGTATGACATTCTTCAGAATAATGAAGTGACAAATTTATTTTCTTAATGTTTAATTGCTAAAGATATTAATAGTAATTTTTGTAAATAATGTTTTTGTGGTTATGTATGATATTCAGAATTCACTGAAGAATATTTTCTTAACATTTAAACATGTCTTTCTTTTCTTTTTCGTTTTTATATGATAAAGAGAGAAATGTCAGTATCAAGATTATGTATTCTTTTAAAATCTTAATTGTTTAATAAACGTGAAGTGTTTTATTCTTTCGATTCTTTTTTTGAATTGTTTATTATATTAAGTAATATATATTATGCCACTAGGCACTGGAATGATGATGAAAAATGCTGGTATGTAATGTAAGTAACACATTCATGATAAAAATGAGCTCTGCAAGCACTTTGTAAATATCACTGCTTTATTTTTTTTTCAATTTTTGATATGTTTAAATATTATTTACTTCATTACTTTATTTAATTATCACTGTTCAAAGTATATGCAATCACCTTTAAATATTTATGTTATTGATTTTATTATTTCACTTTTTTGGACGATAACTTTATTGGTAAATGCTTGTGTTTCAGCCGCCGGAGAACGAGCTGCAGAAGGTCGGGGAGCGTGTGATGTCAGAGCACGAGCTGAGGGTGCAGAGAAGCTTACAAAGACTCAATGTTCCAGAATGGTTTAAGAACAGCCAGGTACCGCAGCAGGGATTCTTACTAAAACGTCATTCAGAAGGTGGTGGTGGCGGTACGACACAAGGCTGGCAAGGGCTCGTATCCAAGACTACATCCTTATCAAGCTTAGGTTCAAGAAGTCCGACTGGTAATTTTTGAACAATTCTAATGACTTTATTAACTGTTAAGATAAGGACTTCGGTAACCTAAGCGAGTTGTAGCCGTGAGCATTTTTTTCACAGTTAAAAGTTTACTATAGTTCGTCATGGGTCATTTTTTTTTATTACTCTTTTCTAACTATATAAGAGTAGGTTTATGCTGAGGTAATAATTGTGTGAAATATGTTCGTAAAGCCATATTTGGATTGCTGTTATGATAGTTCCGTTTCAGAGATACCTTTTGAGTAAAGTTCCTTTTGAGGTACTGTTCATGCTATTTTTGTTTTATTATCATCATGGGTGTTGGTAGGAATATTTTTAAAAATTTGATGACTGAAGATATGAGTAGAAGTAATATGTAAATTTTATTTTTCAACATTATTACAGTAAATTGAATCATTTTTAGTTAGTTTTACTTAATTTAAAATGAAAAATTATTGAATCATTTTTATTATATAAAACTTTTAAGATTAAAAATTAAATATAATTTTAAAAAATGTTGATTATTCAGTTAATACTTGTAGAATGATTTTAAAATTGCATAATAATGTTAAGTAAAGAACACCTGTTTTATTGAAAAAATAAATAGCTAATCTCTGCTGGGTTAAAGTGTTTTGAGTAAATAAGTTAGATATCATTTTCAGTTACATTTTTTTATATCTATATAATATTATTTATAATCTATGAATATTTAATAGTTTGTTTTATTTGTTTATGTGTAAGAAATAATTTATCAAATTATTGAATTTATTAATTTATAACATATAGCTATATTTTCACTATTTTTAATGTAACAAGTTTTAATATTACAGCTAAGGTAAGTCAAAACCAAGGCAATATGCGAAAACATACAAGACTCTAAATTGTGACTTCAGTTATTTACTATTTTTTATGTTTCATATTAAAAATTGTTTCTTTTTTCTATATTTTTCATTTAAGTTAACATGATTTCTGGACACTTCTTTTGTAATTTATAATATTATTCAATACTGTTTTAGTCTTTAGTCTTATTCTTGTGATGTAATTATAAATTGACAGATTTCGAATGGAGTAAGTCTTTTATCTTTTGTTTGTTGTGTGGAAACTCAGTTGATATATTAATTTATAATATTTCCATTAATAATAAGCCAGGTATTAGCAATTTTGTTACAAAAGTTACAGGAGATACGTTATCCAATATCTAGTATTATATTCTCAGAATTCTAATTATGGCTTAAGAAAAATCATCGGACACCATTTAATCTTGTTCTATATTAACATCACTGATACAATGAATTCATTTACTTTCTTCTCTCTAATAACAAGGTAAGATTGCATGTTATAAACAGTACACATAAATACATTTCATACTGCATATTGCTTTGGTTGAGACTCGCTTTGCAATAGTTAGGTTTTATTAATCAAATAAGCGACAAGACAAGCTATTGTTATCTATTTTATAACAGCTACAATAGAGTTTTCATTTATTAATTATTATTGCTTTTATAACTTTACAAACAAAAATAGTCCTTAACTTCAGAATTTACTGATGTTTAAAAGTTGAAAAAATATAAATTTCTACCAGAGCTATAGTAAAATTCTCTCAAATTTTTGAGAATCATCGTAACCTTGTAAACTCATCAGTAATTTATGAAGCAATTTTAAAATATGTTATAGATTTATTTTAAAAATATAATTAATGTATTGTTTATTTTATTTCTCCAGGTAACCTACTCAGTCCGAGCCCTACTCCTAGCACCCACACATTCACTCGATGGAGCACCACACGCCTCTCTTCTAACCCCGGTTCTACTTCCACATCACCCTCCGGTTCCGCTAGATCTTCCTTCAACTACCGCCAGCCCTATCTCGGTTGGAGGTCTCAAGAACGTCTCACTCATCCACGAACCCCTGCTGAGAGGCTTGCTGCAGGGCTCCTTCCTCAAAAACAGGTCAGTAAAACTTCTTTCTTTAAAACAGAATTTTCTTTTTCTTTTCTTTTCTTTTTTTTTTTTTAAGAATGTAATTCACAATCAAATTTAAATTAGGAGAAAATTTTGGCTCTGCCAAAACCGCCTAAAAAAAAATATCCAAAGAAGGAAGAGAAAGATAGACCTCTTAGAGAAACTTCCCATTGACTGTATTTTAAACTGTCCGTAAAAGTTATAGCCTTCGTAGTCGTAGAAATGGTAAGTATGGAGTGATAGGTACAGAAAATTTGTTTTGGGTTGAAAATTTTTGATAGCATCTTAGTGTACATAATTTATTTGTCGTTTTGCATTTTGTACCTTGCTAATGTTTGTCAAAAATTAATTGGCTATGAAAAAAATCAAACTAATTTTAATTAAGAAAGTATATAAAATAAAATTGGAAATAATTGTGTTTTATTTGATAATTCATCCACCACATGTTTGATTTTGCCTAATTACCTTATTACTCCTTAAGGAAATCAAGTGCATAAGATATTTTACTCATTATAATTATACCTTGGTCAGTAAATGAAGGCTGAACTGTGTAAGAGTGGGGGAATAGGAATAGTTGAGAGTTAGGTCGGGAACCTTTTTATCATTAAAGACCACGGTAAGATTAGACAGTGCTAATGGAGGTCACAACAATAATTTATATTTTTCAGTTGCTATTTTTATTTATCATGAAATACACATCTTCATATACATATCGTTTTAATTCTGTTAATTTCTATAAATTAAATAATTAAATATTAATTAATTCTAGTGCTAGATTAACAAATATTGCGAAAAAACGTTTGGAAGCAGGAGCTAGGTCATTTAGGCCACATGGGATCTCTAGATAGATTCCCAGGTTTAGACGATTTAATTCGATCTTTACGTTTTGGCCAAGATATAATATTTCTTTTTCTGTTTCTCTTTTATCCTTTTTACATTGCTTTTTTTCTTAAAGGATTCAGTGACTAATATAATATTCATTTAAATGAGAAATTTATTCTGAATTTAGGAACTGAGGGCAATCTTGATATCCAAATTGCTGAAATCTTATTATGTCTTTTCAGAAGATTTAAACGAAAATCTTTGTTTTTCATTTAAAATCGACTGATCGCCAAATCTTAGGAGTAGATAGTAAATTTGTATTGTATTTTTATTAACAAGTCCTGCATGGCTTAGGTCTAAACGTATCTCCATTTTCGTTTACTAACTACATTTTTGTCTTATCCTTCAACTGTTTTCTTATTATTATGTTTGTTATTTTGTTTGTTTAAACTCAGCAGTAGAATTGTTTATTGCATAAAATGTTTTATTATTATTATTAAAGTAATTAGATCATTGAATGATATTTAGATGAAGGAAAATCACTAGAAAAAAAAAAGAACGGAAAGTTTCTTAATAAATAAAAAATGTATATCATGTAATGTTGTCCATTTACTGCTAATAAAGATAGTTGCATTTGTTAAAAATTAAATAAAAGAAACTTTATCTGACGGCCATTCTATGTTCCATCATTCTGCTCACATAATCCTTGACACCTGTGAGCGAGGAGAAATCCATAACATTGAATTTTCAAAATATGAATTATGACATTTTTTTTTTCATACCTGTTCGGGCACCAAATGTGAATTTCCAGTGGTTAATTTGATAAACAAAAACAACTAAAATAGAAATAGAAAAATAAACTTAAAAATTGATTGATTTTGATTATTAATAATTTACAATTTGATTTATACAATCTTAACCAAAGGCTTTTTATTCAACATACATTATACATAATAGAACTTACTCTCTGATGGACTGGAGACAAACTAACTCCATGTATTATGCCGATTTTGATATAGTTGTCAACCTATGCTTCAATTGATGTGGAATGAACTTAAAACTTCATTACCACATATATTTTTAAATAACTTTTGCTAATTTTATAACCATTGGATTTATAAAATCATTATATAATATTAACTTTTATGTTGTAAAAGTTATAATTCCTAAAATTCGGAAAATTTTATTTTTACTCCAAGTAAATGTTACAAATAATTAGTTTTCAACAAACGCTGGAAAAATCACTTTAATTTTCATAAAAATTCATAGATTTATATTTAATTAAACATTAAGTCAATTAGTATTGATTTAGAAATTATTTTTTTAAACTTATGGTATGATTGAAAAGTTGGTAAATTTTTAAAATAAAATTATTCGCTGCTTTGGAAAATAGTTTCAAAAAATTAAATTTACATGAGTGGCAATTCAAGTTAATAATCATTCTGGCCGATGTTTTTTCTATTAGTATTAATATCAATTAAGTTTCATATTCTCTTCAGTTGGTTCCAAATTTTAAGCATAGAGTGCTTCTGTAACTGTTAAATCATCAATACTTTTATATTTGTAGCTCTGGTGAATAACTCAATAATTATCACTTTGCAAGACCGCAGTTTCAAGTAATAATTAAAATGAGGTTTTAAAGATATCTTCTAATTTTAAATGGCAATATCTTCTTATAACTATTAAGACTAAGTAGTAAATCAAGTTATAAGTCCTGTTAATTATGAGTTGACAGTAGGTACAGATAAATTTATTAAAATATTTATTTTTTGTAATAGGCATTTGGTCTGTGCGTTTCTTCATTCTTTTAATATAAATTTTCATTTGCAGGCTACCCCACCGCCGGTCCATAACCTGAGCGAGGTCCATAGCTCCATAAAAGAGGTTACTTCCGCTATAGTTCATTACGTCTCGGGCGCAAATAAGGACGACAGGCTTTCTCCTAACCCTCCGAGGCATGACTCGGGGTCTTCAAGGTAACTAACTAGTTTTTATTTATTTTTTTATCTTAAACAATAAAATCAATGAAAAATATTACAATTAAATTAATAACAGTTCGTTAATCAATCAGAATAATATTCAAGGGTCTTCTAATAATTTATTCTAGTGTATTTGAAAATATAGACAAAATGAATTTCTAAGATTGTTATTATCGATTACTGTTTTTAATATATATTATATTATTAGGTATCATATATTACTTATATATTGGTATACATTATTTAGTAGACCAAATCCATGGCAGAAACTTTAAATAAACTAAGGAGATGGTCCGGTGTGGCAGTCATAAATAGGCTGAATAGTGCCAAAACTATTTTATTAAAAGCCAACGTTTCGACCCGACTTTGCATGTCTTCTTCAGGGAGGTGTTTTCAGCTAGGAGTTTCACTCATTTCACTCAGTTTTAAGTGAAACTCCTAGTTGAGCATCGGACCATCTCCTTCCTTTATAATGCAACGGTCAACTATTAAATATTTAATTTAAATAAACTGTTATTTGTCAGACTTGGATTAGGCCAATGTCTTGTTCATATTACTCAATGAATGCATTAATAACATTTTTACTTTTGGAGGTTCTTCCTCTCACTGCCTTTTCTCTTAGACTTGTTAGCATATGTTTCTTTGTTAACCACCACATATACATAGTGTTTAAAACAAGACACTACTTACTTACGACCCTTGGCCTGCTCCAGTGTCGACCTCCAGTGGTTTCTATCAATTGCTGCTACCTTCCAACTGCGGATATCCAAATGGTCCGGGCATCTAAAGCTACGTAGTCCTCCCACCGAAGCCGTGGCCGGCCTGCTCTTCTCACACCAAAGATTCGCTCCCTTAGGATTTTGGCTGGGATTTCGTCTTGCTCCATTCTAATCACATGTCCGGCCCACCTAAGTCTTCATTAGCTTTATAAACTGGACTACATCCAATTCCCTATATAGCAGCCTCAGTTCATTGTTAGAACGGCGTTTCCACTCTCCTTCAACTATAACTGGACCGTGTATCCTCCTTAGTACTCTTCTTTCGAATCTCAGGAGAGAGAATTCATGTGCTTGGGTAAGGGTCCAGTTTACTGAAGCATATGTGAGAACCGTCCGGATGAGAGTCTTATACAGCCTGACTCTCACGGATTACGAGACACTATATTTTGATATTTACTGTCATTCTATTTTTTACAAAATAAGTTGAGGGATAATATCCAGGAAAGATTTACATATGAGCTTAAAAAATATCCAAAAATTCAACTAAGCAGATCTATGTCTTTTATTAGAAATTTATTTTTGGTTCTCTGTGTCTCTTCCGTTTCTGAATAAAACTTTTATTTTTTTCTAAATATTTTTTGTAGTTATTAATTAGTTTGAATTATTGAAGTAATGAGTTGTGTTATTATTAATGGTTTTCATTTTCAAATATTTTTAGTACTCTTAAAATCTCCTTTATGTAATAGGTGTTGTTTTTTTGAACTTTAAAATATTATTGTAAATATCAATAGCTGAGTTGAATAATTGTTTTAGGTCTGCTTCGCCGAGAGGGAGCACAGGACGCCTCTGCTGGCTCGAGAGCTCCTTCGTCGGTAACAGGCCTGTAGACGTCCCCGAGACGCCAGTCTCATTGACTGCGACGCCAGAGCACGCCAAGGACCTCTACCTGGACCTCAACTCTATCAGTCCCGGCCGACAGGTCAACGGTGAGTTTGAACTGTCGTTTCGATATCAACTTTTTTAATAGATATTTTTATATATTATTTTTTATAGACTGCATGGCTCTTGGTTCATATCATATGTTTGTATTTGTATTCTTGTAGTTTGTCCGTTCTTGCTCGTGTAGACTGTTCTTTTGAAAAATTACTCTTTTTTATGTTTGTACTATTGACGATGGTGAAATTAGTTCCTTTTTTGTATTTCCATATTTAGAATAATAAAACTTAGTGTAGTCAGCATACTTTTAAACTATTCTACATACTCTAAAATTAATATAATTGCTTTGATTCTTTTTGAACACATCGACCTAAATATTAAATTCATTGCTTGCGTAGGGAAAAGATTTTAGCATTGTCGCAAATATGAATGGAAACTAAATTTTTATTCTTAAACAGTTTAATTAAATATTCGCATTGTTCTAAGTAGATTTATGATATATTGCCGTAACATTTTAAAAATATATATATTTCGCAAATATCTAGTGGCACAGCTTAGTGGCAGAAATTGGTATTAAGCCTCTCTTTTAAGTAATATGGTCTTGAGTAGTCGATTACAGCTTTAATTTTTTATTCTATATTATTTGATGACAGTCAATTATATTCTAAAATTTCAGGACATATTTGATCTCTATGATTTACTTTTTAAAATTTGATTTCTATTGAATTGAATTGACCTACATGTGTGGATTGTATAAAATAGATCAGAAACCGAGAATTTTAAAATTGAGAGGAAAAAAAAATGAGGTAAGCACATTTAATTGAACTTTTCAGGTTTTAATGAAGATAAAATCGAGGAACGATACCAGTTTTTGCCACTTTGTGATACCAAAGAAGATAATGTAAATTTAAAAAAAAAATACTTAAATGATTTGAAAGTGAGTTTGGATGTCTGTTTTTTTTATAAAATAATGTTTATTTTGATCTGTAGCAGTTTTTTAAGCTGCAGAATTGTTTTAAAAATAATTTATTTTAATATTTCTTTAAAGACACGTTGAAAGTTGTGAATTTTTTATTGATATTTCAACATTTATTTTATTTAAACTTTCAATTGGTTCATATTTTTATTTTTTATTTTAACAAATATTTTACCAGGTAAACAAAATTAGACACAGAATCAAGTTAAAAGGATCGTACTGTTTATCTAGATTTCAGCTGTTTTTATGACTACTTGATCCCTTTGAAGAAATTACATTTCACAGATCCAATATGAAAGTGGAACGAATCAAAAACAGTATTTTGTTAAAAGAAATATTATTGTACACAGGCTTAGTTCTACTAAGCCCTCTCCCCTCCCCATCATGTTTCCTCAAATATATATTGTTAGTAATCTGTTATTGTTTATATTGGATTATTTTGATATTTGTGGGATTTACACTGTTTAGAATGACAGGGTTCCAGCTATTAAAAGTGGAATAACAGTGAAAAGTTTTCTATAATAGTCTATTTTAGTTTTCGTCTTTAGAGTGTTGTTGTTATTTAGGGCTTAGAGACGTAAAACCCCAAGATCATCAATACCTATATATTCTTCAATTATTTCAATAATAAATTATTATGGAGGGCAAAAAAAAAAATTAATTGTGTTTAGCAAATCGTTATCTTTAAGAAAATTTATCACTGACCTTATTTTAACTTCATCATTATTTAAAACAACTGACAATTTTGGTATGAGTCCTAATTTGGTTAGAATTGATACATAATAAGGGCACTCTTGAAGAATAACATTTAGAGTGTTTTTAACGTGTGTGAAGTTCAATTTATTTCTAATTTATTTTTATTTGTTTTATTTTTTTATTTATTTGTTTGTTTATTCATTTTTTACTATTTATTTTATTTTATTTCAGATTGCTTATAGCCTGATAGAGACAAAGCTTCACTGTACGGACCAATAATTTGTGTGTTTGTTTATTTTATAGAAAGTTCCCCTTGTTCTCATGTCCGTTTCTCATCTGCCTCAATGGTAAAAAAAAACTATCTGTAATCATCAAGAAAGTTCAGTGCCTTAGTAATGATAAGTTCTTTTTCTTTTCTTTTTTTTTTTTCCTTTTTGTTTAATTTTTTTTTTTATTTTGTTTCTTGTTAAAAATGAGAAAATCGCTCTGCAACATTTTCAATAGAGGAGTATTTTTAGTAATGTGATTCCAAGTGTGGTTTTGAAAAGATCATGTGATTACTAGCATTACCTGCTGCCGTATATTTGATTTAGATATACGACTTTGCCATGGTAATGGTTAATATAGACGTTTGTTGTTTAAATAAAAAAATAATTGAATAATCATGTTTGAAAAACTGAGGGAGACGAGTTTCGCTGACTCTGATCATATAAAATGTTCTTTGCCCTAAATTCTTCAGTGTCTCCCTTCAGAAAGAAGATTCAATATTAATTTAACATAATGTCTATTTTTTTTAAAAAATTATTATACTGCTATTTTGGTATATTAATGCAAACTGTAATCAGTTTTCACACAGTTACTCCTCTATTGTTTATAATGATTAAAAATCTTTGTAGAGGCATTGTTTCGGTCAGGGGAAATTATAAAAAAATTTGTAAATATGTATTTATAAAAACAATTCATAAAAATAATATAATATATATATAATGAATATAGAAACATATTTTCATGACAGCAAATAATTTATAAAATTCATTTTATTTATGTTACTTTTATTTTTCATTATTTTATTTTGTTTTTATTGTTTAATTTGTTATTTGTTTGATTTCTTATTGATATCTGACGTCTTGAATCTGATATCATTGTAATGAAAGATAATGTTGAAAATATTGTTAAGAATTCTATTCTTTTTTTTCTCATATGTATATAATGATTTTTAAAATGCATATTGTGCATTCTTGACAATAATGTAGCTAATACGGCTTTAATATTTTCTTTTTTCTAAAAAAATAAATAAAATATATAGTTATAAATAAATAAACATTAAGAAGCATCAGAGATTACTATTTTTTTTTTGTTTTGTTTTTTGTTTCTTGAGGTGCTTATTTTGGTATATATATGTATTTATATATGTGTAATGTAATGACGAGTTGAAAAAGAAGGATACATTCAGATGACTCAATTTTCAACTTTTGCATTTACCAGTTCGCTGTGTAAGCAGTTCCATTGGAGCAATTGTATTGATTCATTGTGTAAATAAAGCGTTTTTACATGTTATATTTTTTGTTTTGTTTTTATTTTAATTTTTCCTTTACTTTTATGTTTTAATTTTATTTTTTATTTGTTAATTATATTTTAAGCTGAACAATAATAATCCAGGTTAGTGATTATCTAGAGAAGTATATATATATTTGTCTTTCTTTTCATCTAATATGGGAGCGGGGTAGCTCAGTGGTAGGGCACTGAGCTTCCAATGCAAACGTCCCGAGTTCGAACCCCGGCTCATGGCAGAAAATTTATTTATCTGTTTCATTATCCGTGGGGCGACCTTGGGTCAGAAGTCCCTCCTGGGGCACACCCAGCCTCTATAAAGTGGGTACCCTTAATTAAATAATTGGTTAAGGGGGAAAACCTGGCGGTTGAGCGTGATCTCGGTCAAATCACCTCCTTGCACAACCGTTGACCTAGAAACAGTGCTTTCCCTAAATAGTACTGAACCCCAGACCCTTCATGGGTTGTAGTGGTACAGGTTTTTTTTTCATCTAATATACAGAGCAAGTATATTATCATTTTAGACAAAATTTCTTTAGAAATCATTTAATTTATTAATTTGAAGATCCTATAAGTCAAGTAAATAAAGGAAGAGGGGTAAAATATTGTATATCTGTATTCTGTCATAATGGTCATCCCATATTTGTAAAATCCCATTGTTCTCAAACCATAATATTGTAGGTTTGGTAATCTCAGTTTTGAACAGAAATTTGGCACAAAGTATAACTTCACTAGGACCAATTTAGGAGTAACTGAATACTCTGGATGACGAAGTATAATTGAGCCATCACCAAAACTAGCAGCAAGTCTTACGAGTCATATTCACAAAGTAAGAGTACTCTATATTTGTATTTTTTTTAAAATGGCAGAATCTTGTAGGTATATATATTACTTATTTTTCCATGTAATCACTTCCCCAATGCCAGTTTTAAGTCGTGGTACAAACTTTTTGATTTCCTCTAAGAACTCTCCTACCATCTCCTTTGTCCACATTAAGACCTTTCATCTCCTCATCGGTTAAGAAATTTTTGTTTACTAATGTGAGTCTTCAAGAAGATGCCCAGATGAAAATCGGAAAACATTAAGTCTGGGTAGTAACAGGGTGGTGTGGTTTAACACGTCCTAACCAAAGAGTTCAAAAGCGGCTGTATGAGGTTGGGTGTTGTGCATCAAACACTCCCATGTTAACATTATCTCAATCGGTTTTAAATTTCTCTCTTGAATTTTCGTGGGGTCTAGCATTATAGTGCTATAGTTATCGTCTCCTCTTGTGGCAAAACATCGATCAAAATGTTTCCTTTTTGAAATGAAATTAAAATACTTTTATTATTATGCGACTAGTGTCCCTTCAGAACAAATTATAAATAGACATAGTCGTGTATCCGTAACTTAAATTAAATATTTACAAGATGTGTAAAATAAAGTAAAAATGGTATTAAGAGAAATAAAATTAAATAAATAAACAAAATATGGGTGGTAAATATTCAAGACGCAGTCATTATAAAAAATTTGTATTTGTTCCGATGTTTCCACCCAAACATGTGGGTCATCATCAGGGCTGAAAATTTTTAAAATACAATCAGAGATATTATTATACGACCGATAATGATAAATAGTAAACTATAGTGATTGATGGTACATGAATCTTAACTAATATTACAATACAAAACATTACTAATGAAATTTGTAAAAAGTTATACAAACTAAAAATAATGTATGTAATCCATTTATAAAAATTTGTAATATTTTCTCTTACTAACTGTGGTTCGAGCACTGAAGATTTTCAAGTACTCACACATATGGTAGGTAAGTGAAAGGGTCGGGGAAGGATTTCCCAGTTGTTCTTTTTCAGATAGCAAAAGGTT